CGAACAAACTTTGGTGCAGGCTCTTCATTTTCTTTCCTAAAAAATTCCATAGTCTTAGCTGGAGACACAAAGAGGACAGAAAAACCCCTCCAAAAATTATTGCTCAGGGGAGAGAGCGTCTGTCTGTCTGTCCTGTACAATGGTACAATTTGCTTTGACAAATCTCTGGGTGAGGATTACAAAGCTAGCTAGAAGTGGTTTCACTTTGAGCTGGTTAAGGACTCCTCCCTCTCGAGCTGCACCATTCAACACTCATGCTGCAGAAAGAAGCTTCTGCTTTCATTTCTCTCTCTGTGAGGCCCAGAGAGCGTCAGTTCAAAAACTTAGTCTACGTACAGGGAGAGCAACAGTTTTGCCACTGCAATTGTTACGTGAAAGCCCTGATAAAAAGGGCCCAAATGATAGAAATGTTACTTAGGATGTACATCTAAGTCATCATAGACAGTGTTTTGTATCTAAAATGACTTCTACTTTTCATATTTAGTGTGAATAGCAGCAGCAGAAGAGCACGAGCAGAGAGAAGTAAACAGTTTTGAACCCAAGTCTCCACCAAAATGTTTTTTTAATTTAATTAATTTTTTTTATTTCTGGGGAGAGAATGTTCTGGTGTCCTGGTCCCTTATTTGACAGCAGAGCTGTCACTGAGCATTGTTCTTTATCACCCTCTCAGGCAGCCAGGGTTTTTAACAAATCAAGTTTATAAACTGCTTCTTACAGTATTGTTCCCCCAGCAAACTGCAGAGTTGTCCAAATGTAACGAGAGATATTTGGCAAAAACACAAATCCTAGATTCCACAGCTCCTGAATCAGCAGTGCGACAAGTCCACAACTTTCAATGTTAACCAGAGAAAGCTAAAACTAATAGCTTTAACCCAAGGAGCTAATGTTTACAAAAGAACCATCTTCTACGGGCCCTTTCCCCCAGTCGTATCTATCACTGGCGGTGCTTTGTCCCACTCAAAGATACAAGGAAAGGCAGGTATAATAAAACAAACAAGTATTTATTGAACAAACACAAGGAAAACCACTCAGTTGTTAACAACCAATTTTTGGCATAAAGCCAGGGACCCCAAAACAAGATAAAAAGAACAGGAGTACTTGTGGCACCTTAGAGACTAACAAATTTATTAGAGCATAAGCTTTCGTGGACTACAGCCCACTTCTTTGGATGCATATGCAAAATAAATTTGTTAGTCTCTAAGGTGCCACAAGTACTCCTATTCTTTTTGCGGATACAGACTAACACGGCTGCTACTTTGAAACAAAACAAGATAAGTAGATAACAAGTAAATCAAATAACTCTGTACATAACCATGTCTTGCAGACACACGAATGCTATGGACCATGGACAGGAACCACAAGGACCACCAGGAGACAGCACTCAGGATCCTTTTGGGACAGCATAGGGAATCAGGACCAATGCCACGACAAAGACAGGACCAGGATCAGGTAACAGGCAGGTAAGCCTGAATCTTCTTCTTCTTCGGTCGTCACACGGGTACAGATAATGCGCACAGGCAAATGGAACTGGGCTGTCACTTGGGTGGACAGCATTTAGTGCTGGGCGCACAGTCCTTTGGTAACCTCCCATTGCCGGGCGGATTTTATTCCAAGTCGTGACTATTTCCTGCTACAAGTTCCCACCAAACTTCAGAAAGTGCACCAACTGGGCGATAAAGAAAGGGGACTAACATGGAGGGCAAACAACAACTCAGGCGAAACCAGCCAAAATAGTGAAATTGGCCCTACTGAGAGAGAGGAAATCCTCTGGCTGCAGTGGGCCTGCCATCTGATTGGGAAGCTGATCCACTAACAGGTGTTCTTGATCATAATAGTATTCAGTTTAATTGGAAAGAAAATAGCCTGATGCATGACTGAAGTGTGTCATGCCCCCTGCAAGAGTCTAACATCCATTCCCAACTGGGAGAACCACTATCCTTTTGCAAGGTGCCTGTTGCTGAGTCATTGGTCCATCCACCTTGGGGGAAAATTCATTTTACCTGAACCGGTTTTAAATCTAGTTCCCCACTGAGAAGCAGCAGCTCTGTGCCACTGAAGGAGCCTGCTAGCCAGTCAAGGTGAGAAGCACAAGGCAGTGCGTGAACTGTTGGCTGAGGGAGGCTAGCCCCCAGCCCCACCTCTTCTATCCAAGGTCCCATCTCTTTTGCACCCCGCCAAAGCCCAGAGCCCCCCCCCATGGCTACTGGCCTCAAGCCCCACCCCAGGCTAGCCCTCCAGCCCCAAAGGAGCACCAGAAGAGTAGACAGTGTGTGGCCACAGCCTCCCTAGCTCCAGAGTGCCAGGAAGGCAGGCGGCACATGGCTCCAGCACCCCCCAGCCCCAGAGCACTAGGAGAGCGGGCGGGCGGCACCACCACAGTCCCCTTCCCCCCCCCCAACCCTGGCCGGAGCACAGGGGGACTTGAGGAGCCACACACACACTAAAGGGGAGCTCCCTGGGCACATTGGAACATGGGCGGGGCCATGCCTGGCTGTTTGGGGAGGTACAGTTTCCCCCAGCCTATGGGACCCACCGCCCATGGATTTCATTATTTCCATGAGTCAAGGTCGCAGACAAAGCCGGGCAAAATCTGTGCTTAAGAATAATTTAATGGACGGTTGCATGGCCCAGAGGATATATGAAGAAGGGATACAGAATCTTCCCTTTCAGGTCACCAAGTCAGCTCTGACCCAGGTTGGTAGCTACCAAAAGTCATGATGCTTGCTGGATGTATTGTATGAAATGAGTTGGTAGTCACAGCTCTGCTGTGCCACGGCAGGCAAGGCGCCTACCTTAGCTCTGCTGCGCCACCAACCGGACCACCCCGTCAGTGGTACTGACCAGAGCAGCCAGGGTCCCTTTTTGACTGGGCGTTCTGGTCGAAAACCGGACACCTGGCAACACTAGTAACTGCTGTTCCTGCCAAAACTTCCTCACTTGAGGATAAATCCTACAGTCCCGATTCAGGCAAAAATGCTATTGGTTTCCCAGGAGTTTTGGCTAAGCCTAAGGGCTGCGTGATTTTGTTGAAGTGTACGAGGGAATAAAAGGTCATTTCAAACTGCTTGCAACATGGCTATAGGCAACTGTGCTTGATTACCACAGCTGTTTTCTTCTTGATACAGTGCTGGCTGGTGAAATATGGTGGGGGGGGGGGGGGAGGCGGGGGGGGGACAGCTAAGCTTAGACTAAAAAATAGGAAGTGAAGTTAGTTTTAAATGTTGTGTTTCTTGCTGGCTGAGGCAGCATTTCCAGGAATCGAGCTGTTTATCAGAAAGTGGTGCCTTGAGTCGATCTTTGAGCCTGCTTGTAAACGGGCAGGTTTCCTCTGGAATTCCCCCTCCAGGGCAATGGGCCGCAAAGGCCTTGCCCAGTTCAAGGTTATGCTTCCTATAAGCTCAGCAGTTTGGCTGCGTGATCATCAGGTTGCTCCAAGGCACAGTGTGCAAAGTAACCCCCCTTTTTATTAAATAGAAAGAGTGCTTCCTCTGCAATTCCTCGCTTCCTGGCCTGCGGAACACCAGGCCATTTGCAGTAAGCATTGAAAACCCTCAGTCCATTTCCCAGGGGTCAGGTTTGTAACAGTCTGAGCATATTCCTCTGGGGGAAAGGATAGCTCAGTGGTTTGAGCATTAGTCTGTTAAACCCAGGGTTGTGAGTTCAATCCTTGAGGGGGCCCTTTAGGGATCTGGGGCAAAAATCTGTCTGGGGATTAGTCCTGCTTTGAGCAGGGGGTTGGACTAGATACCTTCTGAGGTCCCTTCCAACCCTGATATTCTATGATCAATGCCAAGGATTGAATCAAGGTCCAACCACAACAGGTTCCTGCAGCTCAGGGTGAGGCACTATAATGAGCTAGTGGGTATGGGAGCTATTCATGCATCTGTCCGAATTGAACTACCATAGGGAAACTGTAGGGTTATCAAGGGACCAAATGTCTGGGTTTCTATCAGCTTAACGTGAAACTTTTTCTCCACTCAAGCTGTTCTGAAGGGACAAGGTGAGGTATCAACCTCCTTTCCTTAGGGCCACGGTTCTTATATTACTAGCAATAAGGCTTTGCGTGGATGGTTTTAAACCTCAGGAGAAGAAGGGTGAAGCAGTGGTTAGGGTGCTAGCTTAGCACTTGGGAGCCTTGGGTTCACATCCTTGTTCACTTCAGACTCCCTGTGTGGCTTTGGCAAGTGGCTAAGGGCAAGTCGACACTACAGTGCTGCGTCGGCGCCGCTATAGAGCGTCTGGTGACGAGTGACTGTGCCGATGGGAGAGCACTCTCCCGTTGGCATAATTGCTGTTCTCCCACTGACATAGTGCCAGTGTGGACAGTGCTTTGGTCACTGTCTTTTGTATCCCTTGGGGGGATCTTTTTCACACCCCTGAGTGATGTAAGTTGCATCAAGGTAAGGAGTCGGGTAGACCAGGCCTAAATCTCCCGTGCGTCAGTTCTCTCTGTATAAAATGGGGATAATACCACTGCCCTGCTTCCTGTGAGTGTGTGTTGGGGGGTGTTAGGATAAAAAGGTGGAGATGCTCAGATCCTAAGGAAATGGGGGCCACATAAGTACCAACAAAGTTAGCTCTTCCAGGGTCCTTCTGTCACTGTGTGTGCATGTGAATAATTGGAAGTTTTCTGTGTGTGAAAGTGCATTATGTTAACCTGTGCATTGAGTAAGGTGGGGGTGGTGGACCCTCCACACCCAGCAGGGCAAGATCAGGCCCATGGTGGTTTTATGTTTGTTGTTTGTTTTTTGAGGAAGTATATAATATTTCAACGCAGTGCCAGAGGATTTAGCCTTGTGACTCTCACTGGTGTTAAAGGAAATGGCAGAGCTAAATTCGTACATGCTGAGCTGAATAATAAACACACCATACAAGGGTATATGAGTTCAAACAAATGTCAGTAACTTTCTTGCCAACCCAGAGCCACTGCTCCTTCTAGTGGGCTAAGAAGGAAAATTGAGCAAATACGTTTGCTCCATCTGTCCTGTCATAACGAAAGTGATAGTTAAAGGAGCAGCTATTTCAAAGCCCTCGGGATCAGTCTTTTCTAGAGGGTTCAGCCTTTAGCTTTCTTCTCAGACCTCTGCTCAGGGGACTAATTTACCCACTGCTCAGTGACTTGTGCGAAAAGGTAAGTTGTGTTACTGTGCACAGGGGAAATCAGAACGCGTGTGACAGGTGGGGAAGCGAGCTCACAATGTGTATCGGACTCACTGTGTGGAAAATACAATGGAGATTGTGTTACAGGAGCGAGCAGCTTTAATTAGTGTGGCAATGCCCGTTTGGTTAAAAGGGGGAGTCAGACCTTTCCTTTCAGCTGGCTTTGGACTTTGCAGCTAGATGCTACTAACCCTGATGTGCTTGATTAGCTTGCAGTGTATCGAAGCGTGCACGAACCTGGGAAGACGTCTGATGTTAACTACTGGTGAGCTAAAGCAGGCAGCTTGAAGGAGACGAGGGATGAGACAAACATCCTAAAAGTTAGTATTACTAAAATAAACAGTAATAATTGAGGTATTATTTACATAGCGCCAGGTGTTCAGGGGGCATTTTATAAACCGGTGGTATTGCTGGGAATACAAATCATCACTGGGACAAGGCAGTTCTTAATAAGGGGGACCCCATTTTTTTTCTCCCTTAACTCGTGATAAGCACTGTATTCACCCTGCATGCATTTGGTGAGAAAACCCATTCATTTGGATTCCCATTAAAAGCAAAACTTGCTGGCTTGGTCAGAACCCAGCCCGGAGGCAGCACCACTTGGCATTTAGTGCAGGTTCATTTCACTGGCAGGGTTTACACTTTGATCTGGATCTTTAGTGTCCACCCCACCCCACGAATAGGGTTGCCAACTTTCTAATCACACAAAAACAAACACCCTAACCCTGCCCCTTCCCCAAGGCCCCGCCCACTGCCCTTCCCCTTCCCCGAGGCCCTGTCCCTGCTCACTACATTCCCCCTCCCTCGGTGGCTCGCTCTCCCCCACCCTCACTCACTTTCACTGGGCTGGGGTGCGGGAGGGGGTGAGGGCACCGGGGTGGGGCCAGAAATGAAGGGTGCAGGGTGCAGGAGGGAGCTCTGGGCTGGGGTAGGGGGTTGGGATGCGGGATGGGGTGAGGGCTCCGGCTGGGGTGCGGGCTCTGGGGTGGGGCTGGGGATGAGGGGTTTGGGGTGCAGGAGGGGGCTCCAGGTTGGAGGGTGGGGCAGAGGGGTTCAGGGTATGAGAGGGAGCTCTGGGCTGGGGGTTGTGGGGAAGGGGAGCTGAGGGCTCCAGCTTGGGGTGCAGGCTCTGGGGTGGGGCCAGCGATGAGAGGTTCAGGGTCGGGGAGGGGGCTCTGGGCTGGGGCAGCGGTTGGGGTGTCAGAGGGGGTACGGGATCTAGGCTGGGGGTGTAGGCTCTGGGCTGGGGCTGGGGCTGAGGGGTTTGGGGTGAATGAGGGGGCGCCGGGTTTGGGGGGATCGGGGCTGGGGATCGGGGTTGGGGCACAGGCTTACCTCCGGCAGTCCCAGTCAGCAGCAGAGCGGGGGGACTAAGGCAGGCTTTCTGCCTGTCTTAACTCCGCACTGCGCCCCAGAAGTGGCCAGCCTAGGTCCGCCTCCTAGGTGGAGGCGTGGCAGGCGGCTCTGTGTGCTGCTCTTGCCCGCAGGCACTGCTCCCCCAGCTCCCATTGGTCATGTTTCCCAGCCAATGGGAGTGCGGAGCTGGTGTTCGTGGTGGGGGCAGCACATGGAGTCCTGTGGCCCCCGCGCCTAGGAGCCAGACCTGCTGGCTGCTTCCTGCGTGCGGTGTGGAACCAGGACAGGTAGGGACTAGCCTGCCTTAGCTCCACAGCACCGCTGCCCAGACTTTTAACGGCCCAGTCGACGGTGCTGACCGGAGCCGCCAGGGTCCTTTTGCAATTGGGTGTTCTAGTCGAAAACCAGACACCTGGTCACCTTACCCCCGAACATAGAGTGATAGTCAGGGGTGGTGCCAGGCTTTCCTGGTTGCGGGGTGCTGTGGTGGTCCTTTGCCCCACCTTGCCACTGGGCCCTGCCCTCTTTGTGCCCCCACCCCTGCCTCTCTTCTCCTCCGAAGCTCCGCCCCCGGCCCCATGGGATGGGGGGCCGGAGCTGGGCAGTGCTTGCAGCTGACGGCAGTAAGAGCAACCTGGGGGGGACCTGGCTGGGGCCGGCAGAGCCCTCACAGTCCTTGGGGAGCAGCGACCATGGGGGGTGGGGCCCAGAAGCCCAGGCTAGAGCATGTCATCAGATCTGCTGTGCGGAGCCCTGGACCCTCCCTGTGTCCCAGGCAGTGCAGGAGACACTGGCCAGGGGCTGCTCTCTTCAGAGCTGTGCAGGCAGAGAGCGGCAGCTGCTGGGGAGGGGGGGCTAAAACAAATTTTGGGGTAGCTATAGCCCTCGCAAGCCCCCCCCAAGCACCTCCGCTGGTGATAGTCTGCATGGTGCTGAAATCTGTCTACCAGGCAGGAGCATGTCTGGAGTGTGTAGCTGGCACGGTCAACTGAGCAGTTGTACTCAACAGTGGGGAGCTGCCCTGTTATTTGGGGGCTGATACTTAACCAAAAAAACTGCCACCTTCCCAAATTATTCGATGAAGCTTATAAAGAATTGCTGGTTTATTTGATATGGTATAATCAACCATACAGTTTATGATTTCATATTAACCACTGTCTCTTAATTTGATTAGTTTATATGTAGTTAATTTTATTATTTTGGCATAATTATTTAGTTGAGTTTAATCCAATTATATAAAATTGGAATCCTGTGTGGATCAGATGTTTTTCCCCGAGACATCAGGGTTCAGGCCCTGAGGCGCCTGGGGTAGACTACAGCCAACTGTCCCCCTAATGACTGTCCATAGAATTTCCCTTATAATCCTCCCAAAGCAGGTCCCTTTAGTATCTTGTGGCATAGAATCCATGCTGTTAAATTTACTGTTATATTTCAGTCACATTAGTGCTATATAACATTGCCCTTTCCTGCTCTGAATAGGTTCATGTTATGGCTGGTGCATGGAAAGAACATCTGTATACAGGGGATGTCAACTACAGAAGCCAACCAGGCACCGCATCGGTAAGCAAGGATTGTTTAGAATGTTCTGCTGTACCCAGCCCTGAGCTGAGCGCTGTAGGTTTTAAAGGTGTGTTGTATTGATTTAGATAGAAAAAGAGGCCCAAGGAGTCAAAGGCATGAGCATGAGCCTGAAACTGTCCAGCATTAAACAGTTTTAAACAAGGTTCAGGATTTGGTATCCAGACCAGGGCCAGCTTTAAGGAAAATGGTGCCCTGGGTGAACTTGTATTTTGCACCTCTGGCCCCTGCAGGTTACCCCCCTCCATCATCCCTGGCCCCCATGGCTCCCCAGGCTTCCCCCTCACCCTGGCTCCCATGGCTTCCCACCGTGTGTGTCTGTGGTAGAGCGTGTGCATATGTTTGTTACTCATAGAGAATGACCACAGGCACAGTTCAGTGACAAAGGCACTCAGCCAGATTTATTGCCCTCAAGGCACAGTCCTAGTGTCCTATATGAGCTACAGGTACACTATCACGAGTGCCCAGTGGCAAGGAATGACTCAGTCAGCAGTGGGAATTTCTGCTGTCCCCTCAGGTGCAGACAGGGTTAAAGCGAGGTACCCCAACATTTATAGACTGAGACAAACAACTTACGTACCATCTTATGTGTTTCATTATACCGCTTGTCACCTCCCTTTGTGTCTTGCTCCAGAAGTCTTGGGCAAAACATCCCTATTCTTCTGTCAACCCCTTTTCTCTTGTGCTAGCTCAGGATGTTACTAGGATTATCTTTTGGAGCGTATTCACATATGTACCCAGTATCTGTTGCTTCTTAGCAGTCCCTGTGTTTTAGCAACACTAGCAGTATCCTTGCTAAGTTCATGTATCGGATAGTGAGCTTGTAAACATCTGCTTTAATACATGGCCTGACTTTGGTTCACAGCCCCTGGTTCAGGCCTCAAGTTTTGCACCAGGCCCAGTGCTCTATATCTCTCACTACTACACTGGACTGGTCATCTAGTCCAGTCCCCTGCACTGAGTCAGGACTAAGTATTATCTAGACCATACCTGACAGGTGCTTGTCCAACCTGTTCTTAAAAACCTCCAGTGACAGAGATTCCACAACCTTCCCAGGTAATTTGTTCGAGTGCTTAGCTACCCTGACAGTTAGGAAGTTTTTCCTAATGTCCAACCTAAACCTCCCTTGCTGCAATTTAAGCCCATTGCTTCTTGTCCTATCTTCAGAGGTTAAGGAGAACAATTTATCACCCCCCTCTTTATAACAACGTTTTACGTACTTGAAGACAGACTAAACAAGCCCAGTTTTTTCAATCTTTCCTCATAGGTCATGTTTTCTAGACCTTTAATCATCTTTTTTGCTCTTCTCTGGACTTTCTCCAATTTGCCACACTTTCCTAAAGTGTGGTGTCCAAAACTGGACACAGTACTCCAGTTGAGACAGAGCAGTGCTATTATGCCCATTTTACAGATGGGGAATGTGGACACAGGGGGTATGTCCACACTGCAGTTAAGCACCCGGGGCTGGCCAGTGTCAGCTGACTTGGGCTAGCGGGGGCTCAGGCTAAGGAGCTGTTTAATTGAGGAATAGATGTTTGAGTTTAGGCTGACGCCTGAGCTCTGGGACCTTCCCACCTTGCAGGGTCCCAGAGCTTGGCCTCCAGCAAAGGTCTACACCACAATTAAAGAGCCCCATAGCCTGAGCCCCGTGAGCTCGAGTCAGCTGGCACAGGCCAGTCGCGGGTGCTTAATTACAGGATAGATGTGCCCAGAGAGATTAAGTGACTTGCTGAAGGTCACACAGGAAGTCTGTGAGAATTAAATTCTCTGCAGCGCATATAATTGAACTCAGGTATCCCAAGTCCTAGGTTAGTGCCCTACCCACAGGACCATCTTTCCTTACTGCTGGAACAGGGCAGAGTAAGTCCCCCTCCCAGTAACTGGTGTTAAAATTAAGATGTACATTAATCAGCCATTATGTCACAGCTACATCCATAAGTTATCGCCTTCACCTCCATCCAGTGCCTCCGTTGCTGATATTTAATAAATACTTTAGAAGTTGCCTTGGGAAATGATCCATTATATTCTCTCTTTACAGATCCCAGAAGGACAGATCTGCTTGGATGTACAGCACAGGTATCGCCAATCCCCATTTGGGGAATCACACGTTCAGCAATTCCAATGCCAGGTGTTTTCAGATTTCCGACTGAGTTTGCCTGGTAAGATCCCCTAAGCATCTATTTCTGTTCTCCTTCAACTACTAGAATTGACACTCTTTGCCATATGTACCTGTGCTCCCAGCTTAGAGTCACAGGCCTTCTAGAAAGCAACATATGCTATATCAGACAGGAAAATGAGCCAACCCTGGCCCCATCCACCCCTAGCTGCCCAGTGCAGCACCAAGGGTGGACCCATTAGGGTCTGTCTACACTCCAGTGTAAGCCCAAAGTTGGTAGGACATGAGTCAGCTGACCCATGTTAGAGAATCCTGGGCTTGAATGTCTACACTGGTTTTTAACCCTATGTTCAGACTTTTCGAACCCAGGCTCGAACCTGTGGCTCTGGCATCCAGACTGCAGCATGCAGCCTTGAATCAAAACCACCATATTGAGGAGTCCCTAGCTTCCTCCTGAAATGTGGCCTCTTTAGTACTTTGACTGTGATGTACTGTGGGAAAACTTTACAGCTCACCCTGCACATTATAGGAAGTTTGAACAGGCCGTCAACACAGCCTCTGGAGCAGTGTTTCTTGTCTGTGTGTTCCCAACTACCGGAGCCAGCAACATGGAGGAGGGACCTTTAGAAGAACTTGTGTTGCCTGTGGTTTTATTCCTATGTCAGGAAATTGGCACTTTATGCTCCTCACTCAGAGCCTTTTGCCGGCTCCCATCAGTCCCCATGCTAGATTCCGGGGACAGCAAGGCACCATCCTGGCTGATGAGCACCACAGTTGGCTCTGTGCTGGGCACAGTGCCCGGCTCCGTGCTGGGTGCAGTGTCCATCACCCAGTCAAACTCCTCAAATAATGTGCGTGACATTGGCAAGTTGCCTAAGGCATGGGCATGGTTCTGGTCCCTGACGTTCTGGTATTTGCTCTTCAGTCTTTTACTATGCTCCCTGCACTGGTCATCTGTCTGGAGAATCTGTAAAGCTACCAGCTTTTTAGCTATCTGCTGGTATGCATGGCCTTTTCTGGTGCTTTTGCTGAAGTCCACCATTTTACTGGCCTTGTACCAGAGATTCACCAAAATTTCCCGTGATCAAGGTTTGCTCAGTTCGGTCTTCATTGCAAACCCAGGAGGGTCTCCGAAGGTGTACTCGCAGCTCGGTGATCATACGGTAATGGGTAAATGCAGACTAACTGAGCTGCTGCTGCACCCTGGGAGGGGTGGCTTCCATTTTGAATGGAGGATTGTTGGGATAGAGAGGACAAAGGAAGTCAGCCCTTGGAATTGTGGGATATTTCTGGCAGACTCCCAGGACACAAGATGAAGGAGACTGTGTCTACATAGCAGAGCAATAGGGCTCAGAGCCTGGGTCCCATCTTAACTCATGCTCGGACCCGGAAGCCCTGCAGGGTCCTGGGACCCTGGGTCCAAGCCCTGGTTTAGTGCAATTTCAGTGTAGATGGGAGGATTGGGGGGGGTTAGGTTTGAGCCTGGGCTTACATTGCAATGTAGACATACCCTTAGGCTCCTCCTCTTCCTTTGCAGCCATTTCCCCCCATGTTCTCTATCAGTTGTAGTGGTCCCTAGGTAAGTCAGTTTTTAGCATATGTAAAAAATGTTATTTTCTACATATTTGTAGAAACTCCTTCCACGCCCTGTCCTGTTTGTTTATATTCCCTTGGCATTGACTGGGCCCAGCTAGGAGTTCAGGTTTCAAGAGATGCACCTTGGGTGATGTAAACACAGTGCCACCAGGCCAGTAAACCTGTCTTCTCAGGTGCTTGGGTGAGGGGAACTCCTCAAAGGGGTATCTTTTCTGTGCAATGTTCCCCCCTCAATCCTGTGTGGAGCAGAAGGACCATTTAAAACTGTTTTTCCTGGCAGAAGCTTTTCAGGCTTGCTAGGTAAAGGTAATTTCTATTTTCATCTAGCCTCAAAATCCTTGATTCCAGCAACTACTGCCTTATTCTGCATGGCAAAGCATTTGACAATCTTGAAGGAGAGCCCTCGGATTCAGAACTGTTTAGAATCTAAGGCCTGGTAAATGATCCAGGTTGGCAGGCCCATGTGCTAGGCCTTAGAGGAGGCTGAATCTTCTGTGGCTGGGAAGGAGATAATACAGTAGGAGACCAGATCTGTCATGGTTGTAGGATTATTTAGATATTAGTTTTGCATCCCATGGCTAGCGCTTCATCTTAGTTTCTTTAATGCTGTCATGATTAATCACTCAGTAACCACACAAGATGGTCCCATTCACTTTATTAACCCAAATGTACAGGAAAATATGAAGTTAACATTTTTTTAAATTAATTTAGGAATGTTAATGATGTTGCAACCAAAACACTGTTTACGTGTAAAGCTGCAGACTTGTCCATTTCCCCCATCAAATGCAAAATCAGAGAAAAAGAGAGAAAGGAGAAGAGCTGCTCTGTTGGTAGGCAGGTGGTTGCAGACTAGAGCCATGGCTCTTTCTTTAGGCAGGCAGTCTCTGGTTCATCTAAGGTCAGAATGGAAAGCTCGAGTCAGAGGTGCAGTCCCACTATTGATCTAAATTTCCCCTCCTCTCTCCCAATAGCGGAAGCAAGCTTCAGGTGAGCATGGAAAACCAAATCTGAGACTAGCTAAGATATGGTGGCAACATCCACCATATCTGGCCCCTTCCACCCCTTGCTGTCCAGTGCAGCGCTGAGGGTTGACCCATTTGGGTCTGTCTACACTCCACTGTAAGCCCAGGGTTAGTGGGATTTGAGTCAGCTGACACATGTTAGAGAATCCTGGGCTTGAGTGTCTGCACTGGTTTTTAACCCTACGTTAAGACTTTTCAAACCCAGGGATTGCTGAGGTTCAAAAGGCTTGATGCATATAACTTAGAGTGGAAAATAAGCAACAACAACAACAAAAAGTGTGTGTGTGGGGGGGCGAGTGAACACAAAATCGACAAAACAAAACCGAGTACTGGTTCCACTTTGCTTTCTTAGTTTTGTAATTCCCAATCCATGAAAAATGATTGTGCTGTTGACAATTGTTCTTGCAGAGGTTTTCAGTAGGTCTTCTGACCCAAACCATCTTATTGTGAAAACAGGAGAACTTTGTTCTGAAAACTGGACTCTAGTTCATTTCTTGTGGGTTGACTCAAAATTCAGCCAAGGTTCCAGCATGCACTGGGCCGGTGCAACCAGTAGGTCCTGTTGAGACAATAGATCTGTGTAAATTACTACAATTAAAGGCACTTGCTAAGCACCCTGGGATGTGAGATGGGCGCAAGGATGTGGCATCCACTGGACTAGGTATTAATATGCATGTCTCTTGTTTCTGTCATAGTACCACTACCTCTCTGTTAACGTACAATTGGATGGATTCTGATGCTAGGCCAAGTAAATGACATTCATTGATTGTTTATAAATTGCTCCCAAGGGCGAGCTTGGTGCTGAGAAACTTGCTTCGTACCACTCGACTGGCAAGTGAGAGAAGGAGCTGTTGCAATTTGCTGTAGTGGGTGGGTCAGAGAGAGGCCTGTTCTATCAGTGTTCTGTTTCTGTGAGAACTGGGTACATGGAAAACGTAACCCTGGGAAGGGGGTTGGGAATGGGGAGTGTAGCCTTGTACTTTATTTAAAGTGAATTTTGTAATATGGTGTTGCACCACCGTGGGTTCGTCTCTGGTGGCTACAGTTTCAAGCTTAAAAGAGTGAAAGTCCCCTCTGCTACTTGTTTCAGATTTAGAGTCTCTAGTGGGGAGTGGAGAAGGAGGACCCATAATGATAGATAGCCTAAAGCCAACAGGCCCGGTGCAGTTTTTTATCCCCCAAAGAAAAACATTGCGAAGGGAAGGGCAAATGTGCAGCCATTAGTGACTAAATATAGAGATGTTTTTGCTAAACATGAGTGTTCCAAAGATGTTCACAGTTGTTGAGAGTGCAACAAAATTGCACATTCCATATAGACATCAATCATCAGGGATGCTAGAGAACAAATCACACCATCAAGCTAATGCCATGGAAACTGGTAGATGCCAGTGGATGCAGTTGGAATACCCTGATTCCATTCATTTTAATGGCATGCAGGGAACTCCCACTGCCTCCACAGATCACACACCCTTTGAGGTGATGACTGGGCAAACCATGTGAATACCAAAGCATCTTTTGTGGCATACCAGTGGCACACATCAGCATTTCTTAACTCTATGGCCTAGTATGGCTAAGCTAAAATCTTACAGGCCTCAGCCTGTAGGCCTTGCGTTTCAGCCCTACTTACTTGAGTTTAGAGACCTAATACATGATTATTCCCTCTGTACTGATCAATCTGATACTTCTATAATCCTACAATTTAACTCTGTTTAGCATACAATGATTATATATGAGATTACATGTTAATAAATTATAACATCACACAATAAATGAACAATAAACTAAAATCATTGGCTACAGGAGGCAGAGCCTTAATTCCCCTGGCTGAAATGGTACTGTCATTGAGAGCCATCGCCTCTGGTCACCGCCTGCTCTTCACTCATCTCTAGTGCAGCCTGAGGTTTCCTTTTGCAGCTCTGAATGAAATGTACTGAACAGTTATCACATCTAACTCAGCATGGCAGCGTCTAAATCCTTCCAAACCCAGACACGCTCCCCCTGGATAGTACTTTATCCTCACCATAGACACCTGCTTCTTTTTAGTAATATACTTTTGTGGCTCTTCAGACCTTTCCCATTACCCCAGCCTGAGGTTCGACATGTGATTGAAAAAAATCCATGCCCCTCAATCAGTACTCTCTTTCTGTACACTCTCTTGCAGTATCTGGATTTGCTGTATGTATAATTATTACATATAAAGATCATCGTCTGCTGGCACATACGGATAATAGTGTCTATTGTATTCATCATCAATATATAAGTTTAATAAAATGTTTGTTATTATGCAGAGCAGATAACCTGCCTGTGTGCAGCTCTTAACATAGTGTCAGAAGTAAAAGAGCTGTTACTGCTTCAGTTGATTGTTGTAGCTGACCAGAGTCACTGAGTTACGTTTTAGCCATGGTCTCTGCGACGCACTATTCACTCTCTGCTATTATGAAAATACATGGGGATATTAGTGAAAACTGGAGCTTCTTTGTGGCCTTCTGAGCAAACTGACTCAAGAAAGCATGCAAATCAGAGCGGCCACATTGAAGGTAGCAGATGAAGAAAAGCAAGATGCAACTACAGTCCTAGACGATTTGGGGGGGGGGGGAAACCCTTTGTATTTGAAAGAAATGTAATAGATGAGTGGTATATTTTCAACTCATCCAATCTAAGTGAAAGAAAGTGTGGACCAATATGCAACTGGACCACACTAATTAGCTTCAATCACACAAATTTGGCACACTTGTTAGAGATCATACAGATTTAGGCACCAAAGGCAATGAAGCCAGAGTGCATATCTTATGACAATCAGATGGAATTTAACCATGCTATTTGATATATGCCACTGGAGCAACCAAGCAAAGAAACCTCCCCGCAAGGGGCCATCTGTGCCCCTATTCGCATCAGGGGATGGGGGTTCATTTGCATAGAAGAGGCTGGATCAGCCAATCAGGGGCTGGCCTGGGTGCTGGGGGGCTATGAAGGGCTCCTCAGGGCTTGCAGACCCCTGGCTGAGCTGTTCCTGTGCTGGGAGCCTTGGCTGCAGGGTCCCAGTCAGTGGCAGGAGGAGGCTGCCCCAGGCAGATGCTGTGGGCTCAGGGGCAGCGGGCGGCTGCAGTTCCCAGAGTGGGCTGCATGGAGAGGGCAGGAACTGGGATCTCTGGAGGTGGGAGCAGGGAGTCCAGGAGCAGAGCTGGGCCCTTGTTGGGACTGGAGCCCCCATGTCAGTCACAGCTGGGCACCCCTTCCTTCTTATGTTGTCTTTCCATTGATTTCAATGGGCTTTGGATCCGGCCCTCAGCCATTCTGTGAGGTGCCTAATTCCATGTTCCTTATAATACAGGGGCAACCTTCTTTCTTCATCGCTCTCCCAACAGCATCATAGGGGTTCGGTCCAACTGATTAATTTTGCATAAACCACACAATGATCACTGCAATTTACTGTGAGGAAAATTTTGTTTACCCCACCCCCAGTTTCACAAGTGCAGAAGGCACTCAGAGACCATAGACAAGAACAGGCTATAAATGAGAAGATTCCAACAGGCAGGGGAACTGGTGCACATGCACTATGTACAGCCAGCCTCTTTCCCACCAGAGGTCTAACAGTATTTCTGATTATCCTAAACTGTAACCACGAGCAGTGATTTCAGCGGAGGAGGAGTCTGCATGGATTCCAACTGAAGATTCCTACAAGCAAGTGGAGGGAAGATGTTTTAGACCCAGCAGACTGTATAGATTCGGTGGTCAAAGACTCTAACTGAGACTTAGGTGAACAAAACCTAAGCTGTTGGGAACTTTCAGTTTCTTCTCACTGTATTTCTGTGGGGACTGAACTGTTCAGATTTTCATTTGTTTTCTTTATTATGTTTATGTTTAACTGTGAAGGTAATGTCTGTGGATTATAAAATAGACATGTCATGCTGTAAAAAATTAGATTATTTGTTTCTTTATCATAAGATTTTATAAAGTTATTTAATTAAATTCATTTCTTTAGTTGCTTTTGGGACTTGAATGTGGGGAGTTTGACCCTGTGCAATCCTTGCTGAAAATCCTTAGAGACTGAACGCTGGGTCTCCAACTACTTTCTATGGGAGTTGGGTTTTTGTTTTTTTTTAAAGACACTGGAGACGGGAAATGAAGTGAACTCTAGCCCACCCAAAGGTTACACATACACGCCTATACACCTGAGGTCTCTGATTCAGGGCTCTTTAGGCCTGTATCCAAGATAGATAATGGTCTCCCACCTGTTAGGGGGCTTATCCGGGTCACGGCACCAAGATGTTAGGGGGCTTATTCCTTCACCCTCTCACTTCCCTGGTCCTTCTCGCATGAACAGAGAACAACAATACCTGAAGTCCAAAGGTGCAAACAATTTGATGTTTATTGGGGTGAACTTCCAGCAAGCATGATTCCAGTTTCCTTCCTCGGTGTCCTCCTTCCCAGTTCTGACACCACAGAGCCGTCCCTGCTCCCATTCCCTGTTCCCATTCCCCCCTTAGCAAAACATGATTCCAATTCCCCCCATTCCCCTCCCCCATTACTTCCTGATTGACTACAGACTATATAGTAAAACTTGAGTTCTGCTTAGCTATACCTTAACCAATCATTTTACTGAAATTTAACTAACCAATCCTGACGCATTGTAACATGGTTATTTAACCAATTGTATCCCACCACCTTAATTGGTTTACACCCAACACAATTAATTATACAGCAGACAGAAACAATCACAGAACCAGACAGAGATTATACAGACAAACAATAGGGAAGAGAAGACTACAGTGATAGAACAATACAGAAATGAGGATTTCACATCCTAGCTATTGATAAATGAGTTCTTGCCAGACAGGGTGCTATCAAACTAACTTTCCTTTTACCTCTTCTAGGCTCTTCCCTTTCTCTGGAGGTGACAGAAATATCAGGACAGGAATGTATTCCTAACAGCCCCATAGCACCTTATTTCAATGTAACTAGTTTGGAATGTGAGGATGTGACCGTTCACTTCCCAGTTTATGGCTGGCCTCTGTTGCTTAGCTGAAGGCCTTAGTCTAAGAACCAGGCCTCAGATTGTCACAGTAAGAGAAGGCCCTTACACCGGCACACGGTGATTTTGATTCTTTCTTTCATACCTCTATAACTAGCTAAGTGATGAGAATACACCTAAATTCTTAAAGTATAGGCCTTTGCAGGCAGGCCTGAATAGCTATATCCTAACACCACCTCTCTCCATTCTGCAAACACTGTTCTGAATATCATTGTAGCACTAAGAGATAGTGTCCATTTATGGCATCCTTGCTGCAGGTTGCCGAGTGGGCTGTGGAGGAAAGATGACTGTCTCCTCAGTACTGTTTCTGTCTCATTAAATCATAGGTACACTTGCTGAGCCGTCCGCCGAGTCTATGGGGAACTTTGACACTGGTGATACATCCAGCCGTGGCTCCTCACCTGCACATGAAACTCAGATGTCTTGGGAGATGGAGAATGTTGCCATGCAAGAGGGTGGATCACCGGCTTCCAGCAGAAGTGCACACCCAGAATGCCTAGACTGGGTCAGACCAAAGGCCCATCTAGCCCAGTATTCTGTCTTCCAACAGTGGCAAATACCAGGTGCCCCAGAGGGAATGAACAGAACAGGTAACCATCAAGTGATTCATCCCTGTCACCCATTCCCAGCCTCTGACAAACAGAGGCTAGGGACACCATCCCTGCCCATGCTTGCTAATAGCCATTGATGGACTTGTCCTCCATGAATTTATCTAGTTCTTTTTTGAACCCTGTTATGGTCTTGGCCTTCACAACTTCCCTTGGCAAAGAGTTCCACAGATTGACTGTGCGTTGTGTGAAGAAATACTTCCTTTTGTTTGTTTTTTTTAAACCTTCTACTTATTAATTTCATTTGGTGACCCCTAGTTCTTGTTTCAAAGTAGCAGCCGTGTTAGTCTGTATCCACAAAAAGAACAGGAGTACTTGTGGCACCTTAGAGACTAACAAATTTATTTCAGCATAAGCTTTCGTGGGCTACAGCTCACTCCTAGTTCTTGTGTTATTCGAAGGAGTAAATAACACTTCCTTATTTACTTTCTCCCTACCCGTCATCATTTTATAGACTTCAATCATATCTCCCCTTAGTCATCTCTTTTCCAAGCTGAAAAGTCACAATCTTATTAATCTCTTCTTATTTGGAAGCTGTTCCAGACCCCTAATCATTTTGTTGCCTTTTTCTGAATCTTTTCCAATTCCAATATATGTTTTTTAAGATGGGGTGACCACATCTGCACAAAACAAAGTTCCACATCAGGACGGAACTGAGACCTTTCAGATTTATTTTATTTTCCTGTGAAAAACCAGAGCAAGTAACCATCCCAGAATAGCCACTAGCGTGGTGATTGGGGCACTCGCATGGGAGGTGGGGTCCCAAATTAGGAAGAGCAGGGACTTGAACGTGGGTGTGACAGGTCATGCCTGCTGCTCTGTCTTCTCATGCAAATGGCTCTAACACCTCCAGTTTGTAAACACTGAGGTGTAATGTTCTGAATATCATTGTAGCACTAAGAGATAGTGTCCATTTATGGCATCCTTGCTGCAGGTTGCTGAGTGTGCTGTGGAGGAAAGATGACTGTCTCCTCAGTACTGTTTCTGTCTCATTAAATCATAGGTACACCTGCTGGGCCATCAGCTGAGTCTATGGGGAACTCAGTCATTGGTGATACATCCAGCCAGGGCTCCTCACCTGCACATGAAACTCAGATGTTTTGGGAGATGGAGAATGTTGCCATGCAAGAGGGTGGATCACCGGCTTCCAGCGGGAGGGCATCCCCAGTGCAGTTATCGTCTGACTCAAGAAAAGGTATTGATGTGTCCCAACCGAACTCACCCTTCCTATTTCCCTGGCTGGTCATCCCCTACGCTGCATGACACTATGCAGGAGGATAGATCCCCTCCACTGGCCCACCCATAACACAGGGCTGCGGCATATTCTTCTCTGCCAAAGAGACTCGTCTTGGTGACTTTACTGAGTGAGAGGCCTGTCTCTTGGAGAGTCATCGGGACGTTTGGGAGATGCTATCCACCCTCTAACCTGAAAGCAGCTCCTGCTTAATTGGCTAGCAGCATGGGGGCAGTTTGACCCTGCTACTGGGCCTGTTGCTACTTCTAATTTTACTTCAAAGTTAATGTGTTGTTTTGACATGACTTGATCTTATCTCGTTGCACTGATGAGAAGTGTATTTAGAATAAGGTCAGGAATATTTTGTTTTGTCTCTAGTCCTGTCTGTAAAGCATGCTGGTATCTGAGGGGAGTTGCAAATGCTCACGCTGGGCTCCCCACTAGATGGAAGATATTAATATGTTACAGCTCTGGGGTAGCTGCCCCTTTGACTCCTCTTCAGTATCTCTTGAGTACACCCTCTCCAAGGCAGACCCTGTCCTTTCACTCCTCTCAGTGGAATCCCCAAATTCTCCCACTCACAGACCAGGTCTGTGAGCTGCCCCACCTCTATTTGCTGATCATGATTTCTCAGCAGGTCCAACTGGACTTGGCACCTGCAAGAGAGTTCCTTTTGGGAGTTGTGACCAGTGTGTACGCGCCATGACTCAGAACAGCTTCTTAAACCTAAGAAGAGCCATACTGGGTCAGACCAAAGGTCCGTCGATCCCAGTATCCTGTCTTCCGACAGTGGCCAGTGCCAGGTGCCCCAGAGAGAATGAATAGAACAGATAATCATCAAACGATCCATCCAGTTGTGACGTTCCCCTCTGGTGTTATCTGGACTGATGATCTGCTAGGCCACCCCAATCCTTGACTCTGGGAGCCAGCCTTACCCTGCTCTGCTGTGAGAACCCCACTTCTGGGCTGTCCATGCACAGCCTCTGGCATGTAAGCTGCTTGGATTGTGCAACCGAATGACACTCGCCAATATCTCCGGTCCCAGACACAACCCTAGGAACCTCCGTCTTGCAGTGTCCAGTTATGCCCACTGGACGCTGCAAGCTTATATGAGTTTGTCAATTTAACAAAGAAATTGATATGTACCAGGCTTGTTATCCCAAGGGGAGTTTCTGACACACTGCAAAGCAAATGCACTGTCTTAGGTAGAATAAACAAACAGATTTATTAACGATCAAGGTAGATTTAAGTGATTATAAATCAAAGCATAACAAGTCAGATTTGGTCAAATGAAATAAGAGCAAAACGCATTCTAAGCTGATCTTAACACTTTCAATGTCCTTACAAACTTAGATGCTTCTCACCGCAGGCTGGCTTGTTGCCCTTCACCCAGGCTCTCCCCTTTGATCAGTGGTTCAGTTGCTTGGTGGTGGTGGTGTCTGTAGATGTAGGTGGAAGAGAAAGAGCCTGGCAAAATGTCTCTCCCTTTTATCATGTCCTTTCTTTCCTCTTGGCTTTGCCCCTCGCCCCCTTCAGAGTCAGGAGAGCATTAGCTCATCACAGTCCCAAACTTCCCAAAGAAAGGGGGGGTGACTCCCTCAAGGGTCTAACAGATTCTTTTGTTGTGCCTGAGCCAGTGTCCAGAAGATGGAGTGGAGTGATCGCGAGTTGATTCAGTTTAAATTAAATGCAAGGGCAATCAACATTAGATTGTTAATTAAGGTTTTTGATTTCAAAAGTTCAGAGTGAGAAATTGAGGGAACTAGTGAAGTCAACTGAAGAGCTCAAGGTCGCAAATGTGGAGGAGCCTTGAAATTTGAAATTGAAATTTCTTTATGGTAAAGATGCAAAAACGATCTGGAATTTGCATTCCAAACAAGGGGCAAAAATTTGTAGAGAGAGGTCCAGACCTAAATGGATGAATAAGAACCTTGAAAAGGTGATTAGGAGTAAGCAGAGATACTGCAAGGAACAGAAGATGGGATTGATCCGCAATGAAAGCTATGTCTGGGAGGTCAAAAAGTGTAGGGATAAAGTGAGAATTGCCAGAAGTCAAGCTGAGTATGAGACCTTGCAAAGGAAATTAAAACAAATAGTAAACGTTTCTTTAGCCTTATAAATGAAAAAGGAACAAGAAAAGAAGAAGCCCCCAGGGGCATCACTCCCGCCCAATCCCATCTCCTAGGGTATGTCTACACTGGCAAGTTTCTGCGGCACAAGTTATACCATCACTTTTATTAAAACGCTGGAATTAAACGGCTGTTGCATGTCCACCCTGTGCTCCTTGTGACGCTGAAGCGCATCCATAGTCGCAACTCTTGCAACAGCAAGGACAGCAGTGCATTGTGGTAGCTATCCCACTGTTCACCTGGCCGCAGGGTGCTTTGGGAAGGGTTTGCAATGCCTCATGGGGCAGGCCCAGCATCACATGATGCAGGTTTCCCAATCCCATTGTTCCATGGGCATCCTACTACATTGCCAGCTGCTTTTCAGCTGAAGGGGGTGGGGGGAGAGTGTGACAGGGAGTGTGTGTGTGTCTGTGTGTGTGTGTGTGTATGGAGGAGGGGAGTAAGACAGTGTGTTTTGTGGGACAGAGAGTGTGTCAGCATGCTGTCTTGTAAGTTCAGACAGTGGCAGGACAACCAGTCCTGAGGCAGGGGGGGGGGGGAAAACCAACACACACCCCCCCCCCCCCCCCCAG